TACACAAATGAATAAGTGGTTGATAAAAGGTCAGTATTGGCAAAATCTAGACACTTTCACGTTTGTCTCTCTGCCTTTTAAAACATCTCCACAGGCTACTTTAACAGAGTGGTCCCCATTCACCATACATGCATACAAGAAGCTTTCAATTTAAGTGTTCCATCAGTGAAAAAATCCCATTGGAGAAAAAAAAAAACAGAGAATGAGAGGAGTGGGGAGTAAAAAGATCTGTGAGATTTTTACTGAGGGCCCAAACCACAAGAAAGCCAGGGGCTGAATGCATGCTGGACATTCCCCGAGCCGGCGCTCATGTACTTGGAAAAAGCCCGCTTTTTTTGGAGGCAGGAAAATGATTTCAGCTGTGTAAATTGACAGCGGCCTTGTAGCCGAAGACGGAGAGGAAAAGTCTGCAGCTCCGTGTCATAATTCCTGCTTAGCAGAGAAGCCGCTAGCGGGGGACCGGCCTCCTTCAAGGGAGCAATATTCGACATCACATGATCAAATGAAGCAGTGTTAATTGTTACCAAATGAACCTGGTGGTGGATAACAGCTTAGCTCTAGCGGCTCTACAGTCACACAGGTTTATTTTACCTTCTTTGAGGAAATCCATCCAGGCTAAATGATAAATACGTGCTGTGCCCTGAACGTTTGGAGGCTGGAAGGGAACCCGGGGAGCTTTGAAGTGTGTCAGAGACTGGTGTTAGTCGGAACAGCGTTAGTCGAGACGCGCTCCGCCAGGGTGTTTACACGCGTGGGCTATTTTAGCCTTCACTCTTCGTCTTCTCTCGCAGGGTGGCATTACGGTAAATCACGCTTTTAGAGGCCACGAGGCGATCATTTCATGTACAGTAGACAATAACAGCGCGGCTGCTCGGATCAGTCATTCAATTATGACAACGGATGTAATTAGTGGCGGGCTTTAAACAGAACTGCAGCAAATGGCTACCGGCACTCAAAGACATATTTCTCCTCATGGCCACGGTTGGTTCCAGATTGTAAACACACATTGGTTTGCATGATTACAGACTCCCACTCTGACTTTCTCTACGCGACCTGGGGGAGCACACGCAGAGGATCTCTCCGCGCAGATGAAGCACGTCGCAGATGAGTCCCTGACCTCGGGGTTATCAATCATGTGACCCCGTGAGTGCGATCGACCCAAAATTGGAGGGCAGATGTGAACGGGGGGAAGGTGGTGAGGATAATGCACGGTTGGACGTGGAAGAATGAACACAGAGAGCGGTCTGACATAATTCCCGGGTTTGGCTGCAGAGAGGGAAGTGGTGGCTCTGGGCTTCTGTGTGTGGAGGTTAAGCCAATGTGGGCGTGTTTGTACACATGGCCATGCCTGCTCCAAGTGTTTGTGACAACAGTGTGCATATGTGCATTGGTGTGCGCATAGGTACAGTGATGCAGCTGTGTCCGTTGCACATCTGGGAGTGAATGCATGACCAGACGGTGTGTGTGCGTGCGGAGGGGGGCTGCGAGGTGGCGTGTTCGCGTCCAGGCCAGGGCGGAGCGTCGTGCCAGGCAACCCATGCCTACGAGCAGATGTGGGCACCACAGCCGCATGAGCCGTCGGCCCTCTAACTACCACAGGCGGAACATTACTGGCCAATATGGCGGGGAAATCGCATGGCTGGTCTCACTGGTTTTTTGGGGCGAAAAAAAGTCTTGAGAAAAACTCTTTCCATGCCCACAAGATCGTCATTTATCATCTGACATGATAACAACACGGCAGACGCATCAACAAAGTAAATCTAGGTAACTGTTGCCATGCAAACAGAGTAGTTACTACCCATTAGCTGTGCTAACTTGCAACAAAACAAACAGCAAACATTTCGGCACAGCGTGGAACTAGAGGGGATGAAGAAAGAGACAAAAAAACACTCCCCAAAAGTCCCGGCAAAACAGTAGCTATGGTTACTGATCAATACCATCTCTGCTCCATAACACCAAACAAGCAAATGAGAGACTGTGAGGGAGATAGCTTTGCTACTCTGGAAGACATGTGGACAGTGTTGGACAGAGTGTGGTATTCCTCCCCATCTTGATGGTTACAGATTGTCAGGCATGCACATCTGCCTCCCTGCTCCATGTAATCTCCCACCCACCGAAGGCAGCACTGAAGCCTAAAGTGGCCTCTCCCCCACCTTTTCTTTCTTTTTCTCCACTTCACGTCTTGTGTCAGCTCACATCTCACTTGCAGCTGCACAAAGCATTTGGCACCACTTTTATCTCCCTCATTACATGTGTTTGCCAGCTCCGTATCTGCCCGTTCACACAACTGCTCTCTCTCTCTGACATGGACGGGGGCGCGCGCGCGCGCACACACGCACACACACACACACACACACACACACACACACACACAGTGGGGCTGCGGTTTTTGAGGCAGCTATGACACAATCCAGATTCTTTTAGCTGCCTAGAGGAAGGAAAATGTGTTTTGTGCAAAGCTATTTCCCTCAGAAGTCCAGATTTTCCCTGCCTAGTTGCTTTGATCCACATGGCACAGTGGAGGTGGAGTGGGGGGTGGGGCTTGTGTCAACAGTCTAGTGTTTCAGCTGGAGGGCCCGGCAGACCCCCAAGGTGTCACTCACTGTTCCCCGTCACTGCTGCGGCAGCTGGACCGCTACGTGGCGCTGTCACTCGCTCTGCCCTAAAAACAGCCGTAGAATTGCACCCGTGACACCAAAACACACTTGCCTCACAACAGCTTTTATGGAGTGCGACTTGAAGTCAGGACAAATTTGAATAGCACCTCCAATGGACTGTGGTCAAATATCGAGTACTGTGGTGGTCTAATTCTACCAGCGGAGTGTTGTTGTTTTTTTTTTCAAAGAAGAATGTGTGAGCGTGATGAGATGTAATAACTGAAGAGGTGTCGTAAGCCCGAGAGTTCAAATGTGTAAAAGAGGGAGAGGGAGACTCTGAGGTAGACTCAGTGATAAATATCCTGCACGTTATCTTGAACCTACGGAAACCTGAGGGGACAGTGAGAAAAATAAATAATCCGCTGATCTATTTTCTCAGTCTAATCTACATTATTTTCTCTCCTGTGTTCATGACTTAAGAGCAGGCGAGGAAAAGGCTTTTGCCAGGATAATCTTTGTTAGTTCCTGATTTGTTTCCATTTGTGAAACAGGTGGAACAAAAAGCTTTGGCAGGTGGTTTTTCTTGTTGTAGGTGCTTCTAAACACAAGGTACATACAGTATATACTGTGTTAGAAAGTTACTTACATTCAAATTCACCTGGAAGAAACTATGAATGCGTTTAGTCCTCTTTAGATCGTGGGGTAGCGGTGCACTTGAGCCTCTTGTGGCGGAAATGAGTATTACAACAACAAACTTATTTTTTTTCCCACCTGCTTTCCTCCGTAAAAAAAAGAAATGAAATGAGATAAAAAAATTATCCTGGCCAAATGTTTTCTATCAGTCATAAAAAATGGAACAGCAGAATTTGTTTTCTCACTTTCCTCTCAGAGCTTCCGTACTAAGCAGTGAAACTGAGAACGACCATACAGGATGTGCAAACAGAAGAGAAGGGAAAATACCATCGCTTTAAAATTGGTACTAGTGTGTATAACACATTTTCTTTATCCCATTAGAATGTAATGCTTACTACGGAAATTACTTTAATAAAAGCCATACTTGGTTGGCTTTAATCAGTGGTGTATAAAGTACCCAAAAGCCATACTTGAGTAAAAGTAAAGATACCTTACTGGAAAATGACTCCAGTAAAAGTAAAAGTCACCTATTAGAATACTACTTGAGTAAAAGTCTTAAAGTATCTGATATTTACTGTACTTAAGTATCAAAAGTAATTTTCTGATATTAAATGTACTTAAGTATTGAAAGTAAAAGTACAAGTAAATGCTGTTAATAAAAAAGCAAAGGGTCAGTATTTTGAGAATTATGAAGTTTATTCTTTTAAGTGCTGTGGCCACCATGACCAAGGACATGGAGTTGTGTTGAACATAATTGGGTTGGCTGTGATCCATCCAGGAGCAACAATGTTCAACATAATATATTGTACATAAGTATACTTTTGCATCTACTATGAACTTATCATCATAATTCTCCGAAAAGCAATATGACGCTATGAAGGAGTTGTAACAGTGCATTTCTAAGTATGCTCATTCCGACTAGAGGATGTAGAGGGCAAATGCATAATGTTGTGTTCAGCAACAAATATCCACTTGATGCATCAGGTCAGTGTTGTGAGAAAGGACACCTGCCTTGTAAACTCCTACTATACTAAATACTAAAGCAGCACCGAAAGTAACAACCCAGTCATTACTTGAAACTGAAAAATGTCCTGTTCATCTTCAAAAGAAGTTGGTTTTCAAAATTGCGAGAATTCAGTCTCGCTCTTCTTGGGCTGAAGACTAGTCCTGCGATGCTAACTAGCCTTTCACAGGCCGCTGAGGCAGGTAGAGGTGTGTGCAGCTTCACACAGCTTGCGCACAGCTGAAATCAGTCATCGTAGAGTGGAATTATACTCATGTAGTCGCCCGCTAGCTATAGCATATAGCATCCTGGGCATCACTGGGAATCAAAACGCCGCGGCTTTGAGAGCACTTGTTTTGCGCATTAACGTGATTAACCAATGATTTAACTTGTAAGCTTGGACCACTGATTCACCAAACCTGCTTGCTTGCAGTCTGTGTTCCACCACAGTCCCCGACGCTGGTCTCATGATTCATTTTGTTTCTGAAGATAGATTTGATTTTGTAGCGAGTAACGAAGGTTTCAGGGGAAATGTATCGGAGTAAAAGTATCAGTTTTCTTTGCAAAATGTAGTGAAGTAAAAGTAAAAGTCAACAGAAATATAAATAGTAAAGTAAAGATATCCAAAAAACGACTTAAGTATAGTAACGAAGTATTTCTACTTTGTTACTATACACCACTGGCTTTAATATTGATTTTCTATTAAAAACATTGAATCCCCATTTTTTGTCAATTACAGGTTGTAGTCAGAAGAGAGTTGGTCTTACTGGTAGATGTCTTTTCTCAGCACAGTGCGGGTCAGGGGGTTATCAGCCTGAGGAGCCATGCTGAGGGAGCCCAGCTTTAAGACCAGGGTGTCCTCTCTTTTCACCTGGGGCTCTAGTGGGACACACATACACACAATCACCCAGTGGCCACTTTATTAGGTACACCTGTACCATCCACTGCAATCCAAAGAAACAGTTCTGCCATAAAGTCTACTTCGTATATAAATGTTTTTGCTGAGCGTTGTTTATGATTTTATTATCTATTATTGAGGATGTAGTTTCCAGTAGTGTTGTACCGGGCTACATTATATTGAGAGATGTCGAATTGTTTTGTCCTCTCTATTTATATACAGCAGGTAAAATAAGTATTGAACACGTCACCATTTTTCTCAGTAAATATATTTCTAAAGGTGCTATTGACATGACATTTTCACCAGATGTCGATTTCTGACAGAGGAGTGAAAAGAATTATCAGAAGAGTTGTCCAAGAGCTAAGGACCACTTGTGGAGAGCTTCAGAAAGACCTGGAATTAGCAGGTGCAATAGTTTCAAAGAAAACAATAAGTAATGCACTCAACTGCCGTAGCCTGTATGCACGCTCACCACGCAAGACTCCATTGCTGAAGAAAAAGCATGTTGAAGCTCGTTTAAAGCTTGCTGCACAACATTTAGACAAGCCTGTGAAATACTGGGAGAATATAGTCTGGTCAGATGAGACCAAAATTGAACTCTTTGGATGCCATAATACACACCATGTTTGGAGGTCAAATGGCACTGCACATCACCCCAAAAACACCATACCAACAGTGAAGTTTAGAGGTGGGAACATCATGTGTGGGGCTGTTTCTCAGCAGACGGCACTGGAAAACTTCATATAATTGAAGGAAGGCTTAAATGTAAAAATGAGACATTCTTGATGAAAATCTGCTGCCATCTACCAGGATGATGAAGATGAAACGAGGGTGGACATTTCAGCACGACAATGATCCAAACACAGCCAAGGAAACTCTCAACTGGTTTCAGAGAAAGAAAATAAAGCTGCTAGAATGGCCCAGACGATCAGCTGACTTGAATCCAATAGAAAATCTATGGAAAGAACTAAAGATCAGAGTTCAGAGAAGAGGCCCACGGAACCTTGAAGATTTGAAGACTGTTTGTGTGGAAGAATGGACCAAAACCACACCTGAGCAATGCATGCGCTTAGTTTCTCCATACAGGAAGCTGTCATTACCAACAAAGGCTTTTGTACGAAGTATTAAATACATTTCGGTAAGCGTGTTCAATACTTTTTCCCTGTGTCATTCCATTTTATTACACACTTCATTTCTGAACTTATTTGTTTTGTTTTCTTTGTGTGTATGGATTACTTGGGTTGTTACTGACATCTGGTGATTTCATGTCAATAGCACCTTTAGAAATGTATTTACTGAGAAAAATGGTGACGTGTTCAATACTTATTTTACCTGCTGTACATGAGGGGGGCAGAACATTAGACAACACCTCTCAATAAAGTGCAGTATACTGTGTATATATAAAGTACGTTTATCCTACATGCACTATTTTACAAATGTGAACACCCACAGTCCACATGATACACAAACATACGCAAATAATGTGGACATGAAGACAGAACACTGCCTTACCACTGTTAGTCATTACTATAGACAGACAAGGATTTGGTATTCTGTAGGAGTGTATATAACTGTGGTCTGTTCTTCAGGACCTCAACTATTTCTCATAGCAAATGTCTAATGTGGTGGCTCTGCTATGTCTGGTCGGCCATGACGGGGACTTTCATACAGGCACCACAGACTAGAGGAATTGAAAACACAGCTTGTGACCCAACACTGTCCCATTGTTTGTTTTCCATGTGAAAAAAACCACAAGCGAGCGTTCAAAAGCGACAAGATCTTGTCTAACCTGATGCCGCGTGTTTGTTCGGTGACCCGGGGCAGAAGACCCGGATCACGCTGGTGTTGATGTACATGAGAGGCAAACACCGGGAGGTCAGAGTGTGGCTTCTCATCGGCTGACCGGCAGACTTCCCGCGCTCCCTGTAGCGCCTTGGTACCGTGGCCTGAAAAGACATCAACATTCATAAGATCTTAATCATGAGGTTTGTTGTTTTAATGGCTGTTTCAGATGGCAAAAAAAGTAAATAAATACTCATCATGGAGTAGCCTAGCAAACTGCAAGAAACGTGAGTTTCCTTAAGAGTTCAAGGAAAATTTGTAATTATAAATGCCAAATGATTTTAAAATGATTTTATATTTTGAGTTCATCTGACTGAGACTATAAACCTACTGTATATTCCTCGGTTTCCCAAAGTACTGCAAAAATGAATCTAACAAAGCATTCAATGTGGACATTTACTTCTGCACACATAAAAATGAAAATATAAATGATTCGTTGTTGAGAAGCCTTGAGACGCTACAGGAACTGACAGACACCGTTTTCCTACCTGGAACACCCCCGCTACAGTGGCCAGTAAGGGACAGGACAGCACCACATCGAAGGGCTGAGCTGTCAGCAGGATCTCTCTCAGGTACTGAGGTGAGCTGTCTGCCAGAGGATCCGTGGTCAGCCGCTGGCTGGCGGTGGCGGCGGCACCGCCTCGCTCTGGCCGGCTGGTGAGTTTGTGACGGACGTTTTTGGTGACGGCCTGGGTGTACGTGATGGACAGGAAGCCGTGCTGCTGGTGGGAGCCCTCCAGGACTTTGGCTGCAGTCTGGCCAGTGGTCAGACGGAAGAAATCACACTGGTGATTCGTATCATTGCACAGAGCAACAGACAAAAAACTGTGCTGTGTTGTTTCGGTCTGATTTGTTGGCTGACATTTAAGCCTGGCTAATAACAACAACATACCTCTTGACTTTATACTATCAATACTTTTTGAGTAAAAATTCTCCAATCAAGTGACTTATCTAAAATCTTCATCACAATACTGGGCCAGATACGACAATGCTCTACTCAAAGGAAAAGACTTAACCTCAGCCAAAAAAACAGACCCCTGTGGTCCCATACACAACTCGAACAAGCCAAGCTGAAGCTACCAGCTAAAAAGGGTTTGAGAACAAATGTGTTTTGTATCGTAAGTTAGATCCACAAACTTTATGAGAAGCAGAAAGTCTTATAAAAGCAATTGACAGACTGCAGCTGAACTCTGAGGAGGAATTATTTCAGATTGATCAGATTTCCAACCTTATGGGTGATTTGCAAAGCGAATGCAGGGTAAACATCCCATAGAGTAGAAGAAAATAATCTCCAACTGTTGCGTGATTAAAAGAAAGGCAGATCTGCTTAAAACATCGCAGTAAAGTCTGCAACAACATCCAGTAACAGTGGACTTTATAGCTGCTAAGAAAGTGATTTATGTCGATGTGTAAATGTCTAAAAGCACAACATCTGCACCATTTGTTAGACCTTCTGTAATAAATGTCAGTAAATACAAACAAACATGTTTAGAGCACATTCCTCAGAGTTCAAGTGTGTTACATAAGTACCCACAGAGGTATTTTCCTTCAAAGCACTGTGTCAATGACTGTTACCATGACTTTAATTATATAAATAATAAATCATTTCGAAGCAACATTATAACAACTGTTCTCTGAGGAGCACACGGAACCTGTTTGAGCCACTGTTACTGGAGGTTAGGCAGGGTCAGATAAAAAGGAGAAGAGCCGGGTTCTTACAGGAGGGAAAAAGCCAGAGAAGTGGCTGAAAGATTCTTGCTTGCTGACGGGTCGAACCAACACAGTGCGTCTGTTCAGCTTGTCAGTGCAAGAGAGCACCACTCCTCCACAGCCGCCCGAGCTCCGAACACCCTCCTCCGAACTGGAGGTGAGGAGAGGAAAGGACAGAGGAGGTAGGTGCCGAAAGGGACAGAGAAGGCAAGGAGTCACAGGGATGGGGGCAAAGAAGATAATGATTTAAATACAGACAGAGAGGAATAGGGAAAAAAGACAGGAAAGCATGAAACCTCAAGATCACTTTGGAAAAATGAAATATAGAACTGATTAAAATCAGGAGTAGCACCAGCTTGAACATTGTGGAATGGTCTTATACGATTCAGTAATAACAACAGCATTAAAGCAGCTGTTGAATTCTGGGATTGGCAGTATGTTGAATGGAAAAAGTAGGCTACAATTTAAAAGCCCTTAAAATCCCCAACCTGTACACAAGATAAATGCTGTTAACGAATCTCATCAATTAATCTAGTGTACATTATCTAATGCTTAATTCAATAATGTAAACTCTGCTATATCCAAACAACCCACAATGTGTCAAATATCGCCGTTTGGTCAGTGCTCCTCTATGTTTAACACCAACGCAGATGCAACGTTTAGCGTCTGTATGCGACGCACCGGGCTTAAACTTATTACACGCTCAGAACAACTGACGAGAGACACACCGGTGAGAGTGGTGATGGATGGTTCACACAAACACAGACTCCTGGACAAGAGACAGCTGTTCTTTACACACGTGAAAAACCTAAAGGAAACGTTGACATTTTTTGTCAAGTCAGTTGTTAGTGTCGTTTGCCACATTAGTAGTTACTTATGTGTGTCGTTAGTGTCCTGGGCTGTAAATATCATTAGTCACGTGAGTTGTTAGTGTCATTAGTCACAAGAGTCATTCGTCATGTAAGTTGTTGGTCAGGTGAGTTGTTATTGTCGTCGGTCATGTTAGTCGTTAGTGACTCATGGTAGTCACCAAACGACTTGACTCGTTTGTCACTGGCTAGTAACGTGAGTTTAGTGTCGTGAGCTGTTAGTGTAATTGGTCACGAGATTTGTTAATGTTGTTAGTCATGTAGTGTCGTTAGTCATGTGACTCACAGGAGTCGCTAAAAACTTGACTTGTTTGTCACTCACCAGTCACGCGAGTTGCAAACCTAACTTCCTGTGAAGACAGAAGTTTATTTTGAAAAGACACTGTGCATGTAATCAGAATATCTTTAACGAGCGTATATTGACACGGCGTCCCTGACACTTCCAAAACTGACATTAGACAGTTACCTAAAGTGTCACAGTTTAAAGCTGAGGAGCACTGACCAACCGCTGGTATTTGAAACATTGCAGTGAGAATATGCTGATCCAACACATTACCAATGCGTTAAGTACCAGTATAAGACCATCCCTAGAATAACAGTTCATCAACAAGAGAATGGAGGCCCATGTCCTAGTCTCCTCCCACCCTCACACACACACACACACACACACACACACACACACACACACACACACACACACACACACACACACACACTTGTCACCAGATTTCATTGGCTTGATTATCTAGCCAATCAGAGCCACTGGAGAGACAGGGGAATGTTATGCCGTAAATTGCAATTATGGAAGTTTTAAGGTGCATCAATTTATCACATTCGAGCACACCTTGCGTTATAGCCCAAAATAATGCTTTTCATTTATTTTCCTGTCTGTCCAGCATGAGCAGAGATGACCTCGATTGGGAGCAGCAGAACGCCAGAGGCACAGTGTATACAGGCCTAAGGGCGGTTGCTATGTCTGGTTTGGGACAGACAGGAGCCTCACCACGGCTGTCTCCTTGCAATGCAGAATGAGTCCTTCATAGTGGTCAGAGTGAAAGCCCTGCCCTGGCCTGGAGAGACACACAAGGCCACCCTTAACCTGGGCAGCTGGGAGGACTCATACTGTTGTGGCAGGGGACTGATGATATCTCGTTAATGGCTAAATTACATTCAGATAAGCAAACCACACACTAATACTAACAGTTTTATCAAACTTGCAGCAGCGGAGGCACACATTGAGACTTTATGTATGGAAAATTGACACTACTATTACATTTTAGACCGTGCTTTCAGATAATAATCAAAATGCAACACGCGTATTAACATGGGGAACTTATACGAACATAAATCAGGTGATGCATGATTATTTTCTGTGACAATCGATTTCCTTTTTTTTTTTATCCATAAGAAGCAGAAGGCACCTGTGAAGCAGACATCAAAAAGGAGTTAACAGTAAGACGGACACAACAATCATCAGTCTGATATGCAGCACGACACAAACACTATGCTCCAGTATAAAATACAACACACACAGAGTTGTAAAAATGACTGTAGGATGCCAAATCTTGCGCAACACATGTATGGCAAAAGGTTTCACACAATGGGAACGGTTCAACGCCATCTGCATCATATCTTTTGCGCCCCCCAGCAGGATACTGAGAGCTCATTGAGAGAAGGCAACTTTCTGTGTGAATATCTCTTTTGTAATCTCCCTCTCAGCTGTAAGAGTGACGAATACACATGGACCCCCCAAGAGCTCTTCGTTTCTCCCATCGTCCCCCCCCCCCTCGGTTCCAATGCAGCCATCCGGGGAACAGCTGGAAGACATCAGCTCCAATCTGTGTGAGCTGCTTCTTGGAGCCAATAAGGGTGAACTGTCACCGGCCGTTCGTCTCTCTCTCTCTCTCTCTCTCTCTCTCTCTCTCTCTCTCTCTCTCTGGGGGGGGTGGAGCACCGTTGCTAAGGGAGACCTGGCTAAAACAAGGAGAAGAAGCAGCTTCCTAATTTCTAATCTTCCCACTGGAAGGGAAGTTGTTCACCTCTCCTCCATGATTAGAGAGGCCACACACCTACGGCTTCCATGAGCGCCCATCCTTTTCTTTTTTGGTCCTATTTTGATACAATCAGAGATTCAATTATATATATTCACATCACATATTTGCCGGCCCTATCTATTATTCCATTCATTTTCCAGCAGTGAGACAGCCGAGGCCAGATGAGACGTTTTTCTCTGACAGGCTCGATTTAATCGGACCCGCTGCACACAAATAACATGGGCTGGGTGATGACATACCTAACAATTATCTGCTCAGAATGATTAATATGGACCCCGACCCCAGTGGGCTCTCTTGTATAGGTGGACGATACAGATTAGAGTGGGCCAGGAGCCCTAAACAGAGAAGACCTGGCTTGGATGATGGAGTGCCTCTTTCTGCCAGAACTTTGCTCAGTTTAAAAAGTGTGTTGAGACCACGTTGTTAAAAGCACATTAAACTGAAATAACCTAGAAATAAGTAAATTGACCCATTATCTACTTAGGGAGTCATAGAGGTCTACTAAAGAGATTACGGGTTGGCTCTGTCTCAGAAGCAATTGGACACACACCTGTGGCGAGCAGAGCAGCGTGATGTAACGACCCGAGACACCTTTAGGTTCTAGAGCTGTCTAACCACTGACACTGTCCTGGCTTAGGTTGATTCTCCGCACTGGGTGGAAAACATGTGGCCCGGTCATAAATCAACCGACTGCAGCGAGACAGGGAGGTCTGCAAGACGCTAGTCAGTTCAAGACAATCGCCGAGTACACGGGTGAGCTGATTTTAAAATCTGGCAAATCACAATCTGCATCTATTATCATATCAGCGGCTAGAGCATCGATTGCTAATGACGGGGTTTAGTACGGGCCCAGGAAGGCCCAGCTCCCCTTCACTGCCTGGCTCGATCCAGTGAAGGAGGGACTTATGGGAACACGTCTACTCGGGCACGTAGGCACACAGATCCGAAAAAACATGCGCAACATACCGGAGCGTTAGAGATCACTGTTTCATTATCTCCTCAGACGGAGACAGAGGGAATTGCCTCCTGCTAAAGTGGTCCCTTCCCAACAGGACAAGACCTCAGGCACGTACACGCTCAGAGCCGCTGACTCCATCGCGGAGGTATGTGATCGAGGCAAGGTGGAAGGAATACAGGAAAAAATAAGTATTTTGATATTGAACTGAGGCCGCCCTACATACATAGATCTTTAGTTACAGCTTCAATTCCCCCATGCTGCAGTATGTTCTTTCATAATTTCAGAGCTAAATTATCCCATTGGAACTTGACATGGGGAGAGATTACCGTGAGGATGCAGTGGAACATCGCCCAGTGGTTTTCCTCCTCCACAACATGTTGATGTTTCTGTGAATCGATTCAGACACAGACAGACTGAGAGTAAATGACTGACGCACAGTACGGACTGAGCTCTGCGTCGCGAGTCAGAGTTGGGTCAGCCCTGAGCCCGTTTAACGCGCCTGTCTAATTGGTTTCATCTGCCCGTTGGTCCGTCTGCAACAGCTGTCTGGAAAGACGATGGTGATAATCTGAAATCACCCGTGTGAGCACAAGTGGGAACAGATAAAGTGTCAGTGGTACTGGTGGTGAAGTGCGTGTGTTTGGATGGTGAGAGCAGAAGTGAGCGGGTGCAGCAGGGTGACCTGGTGGACAGACAGACAGACCTTGATCTGGAGGCATCCGCCTGTGCCATATGATTTCAGACCTGGCTCACAGACTGTAGATAAGAAGTGGACGTAGTCGTCGTGACGTCACCCATAGGTTCGTGGACTGCCATTTAGAAGGCGATTTGGCCGTTGCCATCTAGGATTATGTCCGTCGCCATCTTGGCTTTTTGCAACCGGTCAATGGGAATTAGCATATTTGGAATGCGGAGGGGTGATGTAGAGACGGTGTATGCGACTCTGGTAGCGGCAGCGACGTAACAATCACAAAGTAGCCCCACCCTACAGTATACCCTGCTTCATGGTCTGTTTTACTCTAAATGGACCATAATGTACTAAATGAACATCATGCTGTATTGAAGAAGACTTGAAACTAGAGATTGAGACCATAAACTCATGTTTACAATGTTTACTGAGGGAATGAATCAAGAGAGAAGTAGAGTCATTTTCTCATAGACTTCTATGCAACCAGAGGAGTCGCCCCCTGATGGACATTAGAGAGAATGCAGGTTTAAGACACTTCAGCATCGGCTTCACTCTTCAGAACCGGAGGTTGCCGCCTGAGCTGGATGCATATACGTGTTGTACATGTACGCGATGTACTCTACCTGCATCTGTGCTGGTCGATGTTGAAGCTGCCAACTTTACATTTGATCTTTGTATAAACATCCTGGACATCCACTGAGGCACTCAGGTCTTCTAGTTCGCAGATGACACAGATCTCTGACGGAAACACACAGAAAAACATGAAGTGAATCACAGTGGAAAGACACTCATTAGGCAACTTCATTGTTGCTGTCCTCTGTTTTTGTTCAAGCATGCCGTATGGCCATCATTGTGCTTGGCAGATGCAGCTGAACTCGGAACTTGAGGAAGCTCCAACTCTGTGTGTGAAAATCATTCCAGTGGGCAAAGACGTACACTGTATCTAACCCTGTACAGGTCCAGCCTTTGGTCCTGATCCAGATGTTCATGTAGACTCTTCTGTGTGTGTGTGTGTGTGTGTGTGTGTATGTGTACAGTCATTAAAATGTACATGCGTGCGTGCCCCAGTGCACCTTGTGTGCAAACAAACCCGCCCACTTCAGGCGACATGAGTAAGCCTCACAGGCGGACTGATTCACTTTGTACTGCGCCGAGTCCTTCAGCTTAACTGTTGCTGCGTCCCACAAGAGAAAGTCCCACAATCACAGGCTGGCTTGGGGAAAATGGACTTCATGCATGTGAAACTATGGCTGTTGTTGTACTGTTGCCTTGCAGTGGTTCTGAGAAAAAACGCAGAGGTTCCCAACAGCTTATTAAAATTGAAACACAAGGCATTGTGGATAACTTGTGTGGAAAGAACTCTCCCGAGCTGTGAGATACTCAGAAACTTATGGTCTCCAAACTTGGTGTTGATATTGATGTATGAGTTTTTTTTAAACCCAGCTTGTAAGAGCACTGGAAATCCTTAGTCTTAGATGGTTCATCTTAAAAGAAGAACACTGATTTGTGCCTTTAGCGGAGCCTTATGGAGACTCATGCTTGAATTTCTACCTCTAATCTTCCAACACATAATGGCATATCATGAGAGCCCAGAACCGATGTGTCTTGGACTGGCTGTTTTTTTCCATTTCTCTGGAGAGACGAGAATCTTATTTCCTTTTGCAGTTGAAAAACACATTACATCATAGCAGATTGTCTGCAGTCATATCTGTGGCTTGCTTATCTCCGAGAATGTCCGTGTGATATTAGGGATCTAATGTATCGCCTGCACACGACTCTTGTTTTTAATAACATGCCTAATGTGTTGCGCGCAGAGGATCCAGCGGGAAGTTCATCTCGCAACTCAGATGGCGCACATTAAGCCCAAATCCGAAAGCAATGCCTATTTAGGATGTCTCTAAGTCAAACCATCTCTGTGAGGTCCTCCGAAACATTCCCTTTCCACCATTCAAAGACCTTAAGCCGGCCGATCTGCTTGGCAGATGCTAAATATTACAGCCACCAATTAAAGGTAAATCTAGCCTTTCATCGCCGCAGTTAATCTAAAGGGGACAAGAGGCGGTTCACTTGGGATTCATCATCCATTTATTTATTTGTCTTTTCCCCTCCAATCCCTCTTTCTCCTCCAGCTGCTTTTCCCTTCCGAGTGCACAACATGTGAACGAGAAAAGGGGCGGGGGGGTGGTGGCTTTAAGTGTCGATGCAGCAGGACTGTAAGAACTCGGAGCAGCTTCCTGCACTTGTTCACACAGACACATTTGTAATAAAAAACCCGACCCGAGTCTTTTTTCTTTTGTCTTATTACACAGATTTATTAACAATTAACATTGTTAATTCAGGAAGTCACTGCTCATAATTCTTTGTCAATAGTTCCATACTTTTGTTGCTGCTACCATGAACATAAAGCACTTCTTATGTGTTTAGAACATAGACTGTATATAAGAAGTGGACGTAGCCGTTGGAACGTTACCCATTGGTTTGTCAACTATGGTTTTCAAGCCTCGAGGTCGTCATCTTGCTTTTTTTGCAACCAGTAAAAGGAAGTGACCATAGTTGGAGTGATGCCGTGGTAGAGACTCCGTTATACGGCTCTGATAGCGACCTGTCAATCACAGTAGCCCCGCCCTAAAGCATACTCTGCTTTATGGTCTGTTTGACTCTAAATGGACCATCATTTACTAAATGAACATCATGCTGTGTTGAAGAAGACTTGAAACTAGAGATTGAGACCATAAACTCATGTTTACAATGTTTACTGAGGGAATAAATCAAGAGAGAAGTAGAGTCATTTTCTCATAGACTTCTATACAACCAGAGGAGTCGCCCCCTGATGGACACTAGAGAGAATGCAGGTTTAAAGTACAACAGCATTGGCTTCACTTTTCACAACCAGAGGTTGCCATCTGGTTTAGAATAGCTGTGTATTAACAACTAACTGCTACTAAATAACTGAGATTGATTGTATTTAAAGAGAGCAAGTATCATGTGGAGGTTAAGTAGGCTACTGTACCTGTCTTTTTGGCAGCTGGCTCGAGAGCAAACAGTTTGACTGTGACCTTGGGCAACATCCACTGCATCCACAGGCTGACCTTCCCGCTGGTGCCTCCGATGCTGCTGGTTTTCTGCTCCAGAGTGACTGTGTCGGCGAATGGGCCGTCGTCACCAGCAGGCACAGAGTCTCCCTAGGGAGTCAAAACAGGACCTGTTCAATCAGGGCTAATGACAAGACATGATTTGAGGCCACACTTGGCACTACCAATAGGGCTGGGCAATAATTCAATATGATGATTTATCATCTTTAGGTGGAATTGATCAAATCATTTATCGAGATATCAACAAGCACATACTGACTCAAACTAGTCACCAATATTAACCAGTGACTATTATCTTAATCTGATAACTCTGTATTTGTGTGCATGCATGTAAACATAGTAAGTGTATAGTTGGAAATATTTATACATTTTTTACTGTTCATTTTGCACTAATGTTCTTGGTAAAATGAGAATACTTTCTATTTGTCAAGTATATAATTCACACAGGAGTTTACATTATTATTATTTTGTAATAATATAAATACAATATAATATAAATGTATAGCAGAAGACATGCTATATCGTGAAGGCTCGGACACTCAGGGGACATCGCCCTGTGTGACAGTTGCACCGGGAAGCAGCGAGGTCTGGGCCAGGGGTGCTGGACAGCTCACGACTGATTATATACCAGTATTGAGATATAAAACGACCAATATCGTGACAGATGATCTTGGCCGTATCGCCAGTCCTAACTACCATGTGAGCATGAAGACCGTGACATTTCAAATCGAACTAACTGAAGGGCAGAGAGATGTCTTGTCAACGTCAAAGCCAACTCACATTTGAGTTACTAGGACTGGATTGTCAGTTCACAGTCAAACAGAACAAAACAAGAAATGACATATTATGAAAGACTATATACACGAATTGACCTTAACTTTCTGAAGTTTGTGTCTGACTGTCAGTTTGTCTATCTGCTTGTGTTGGTGTCCTACCATGTGCTCGTGTGAACGTGCATGTGTTTCAAAGTGCCATCGCCGTGTAAGTAGCCGCGACAAAGCAACCGCCGGCTTCAGCTTTCCTGCCTTTTGGAGTGTAGATGACATCAGTGTCTGGTGAGCTGAGCGACGTGGTGGTGTGGTGGTGGTGGTGG